CATACTACGTATAGGTATGACATCAAATGCAAATCAACAGTAAATCCAGAAGTATGCCACATCACAATATCTCAACAATAGCATAATAAAAATAGGTGCTCATCAATCAACGCTGGCACACGAGTTCATGCAGATAGTTTCTGACATGAACATGACTAGGTGTAATGTATATGTATGCTATAGTGCTATAATCACGTGAAAAATAGCGATAATCGCTGTCACCAACGAGTCGGATTTGCTTAATGAAACCTGTACGACAGGACTGACGCCTACTTAGATCCAAGGTGAGTGTGTAGTGCAGAGGTGAACATACACGTAAAAGACTAGCCCTGGCCTCGGGTGAGCACTACCACCGGGTGCAGCAATGATGAGCAGACTACACATATATATAATCATGCCATAATGATTCAATGATTCAATAATTCTAGTCAACATACTAACATTCATAGTCATACTTATACTTATCGCATCAAAGATCAAAAGCATACCAGTGCATCCTGTAAGATGTAGCATATTTCATAAATTCCGTCATTTCACTAATTCTTAGAAACTTTAGTCTAATAAAGGCATGCATAAGAATTTATTTTTCAAATGCATATATGGAAACTAGCAATCACACACACACACACACACACACACACACACACACACACACACACACACACACACACACACTATAAAAAGAAAAAAAAAAGACCCATTCACCTGAAGTTTGCACTACAACTCCCTAGCACGAATATCGAGGCATCACGAAAGATCGTCACCTAGAACAAATATCAAATCACGTCTCAGAATTCTTATCAATAGAACATATAACTTACATAAAACACATCTCCAAGGACGTTCTAAAATGATTTGAAACCCATTGACTAAAAGTCAACCGTTGGTCCAAGGTTGATGATATGGTCCACAGCCCTACGTAACTTGATCTGGCAGATCCACACCTCAGATTTCTGATCCATAACTTCCCAAAAGTTTCAATAAGCTTCTAGAACAACATCATAAAGTTTCGGAACAATCCAACGGTCGAATCTCTACTAATCGCTAAAATTAAGCGGCGGCCGACGTTTAGATTTACAAACTTAGAAAACCAACCTGGGAAGATCCGTATGCAAATTCCCGATCCGTCAGTTCCTAATATCCTTAAATATTATGTACTATTACGTATTAAAGTTTGGTGACGATCCAACAGTTGGATCGTCAATTTATATAAGGATCAAGTGGTGGTCTCTATCAAAACTATGTTCAAACGATGAGATTTCATTAATCGGACTTCACCTATGGAATTGGAGTATCAAATTTAGCCTAGAAAGGTCAGGGGGTGTCACGGCCCAAGCACCATTGGCCGCCCCAACTCGCCAAAAAATTCAACTATTTCCAAAAATTCTTAAATTTTACAGAAATGAAGATCTCAATAAGAAGAACAAGTTTTATACTTCTGGCCAAATCCAATTTGGCCAGGTAAAGCTCCAATTTCACTTAAACATGCCGGAAACCCTAGAATGGGTGAGCTTCAATTCTCCTTCCTTGGTGTTCTGACACCCCTACAACTGGTTGGGGTCTTGTTTCCGGGTCCAAGGGAAGTTGATTAAGGGTGGTGGTGGGTGGTGCAACTCACCAAATCGAAGGAATCACCGTTGAGCACCTCCGGTGTTCCGGTGAGGTTTTACACAGAATTGGACCTTAAACCTTTCGAATTTGGGTGGAGATGGTAAATAGGAAGTTGTGGGAGAGGTTGCAGGTGTTGTATGGTGGTGGTTCGACGAAAAAAAAGGCAAAAATTGGCCGAAATTAAAACCTGGTTGGGTGTGCGGTGCGTGTCAGGCAGACAAGAAAAGGAAGGCAAGGAAGATTCTCTCTCTTCTTGATTGGTCCCTCTCCTTCTCACTAATTTCTAATTGGTCACTAAAAAAACTAATTGGTCTCTTTCTTTCTCCTGATTTTCTGATTAGTCCCATAACCCGTTAACTTATTGGGCCAAATCCAAGGATCGGTTCTCATTCCCACCTAGTGGGAGTTTAATTAATTTATAAACTAAAATTTAAATAAACAATTTCAAACGTCCGTAACTATATTGTTATAATCCGAATTCACAAATGGATTTTGCCTATGCGCTCGTGGCTTCAAGATCTATTCGGAAACATTAATTGTGACTTCGAACGATCAACGAAAGTCAAACATCCTCGCATCTAAGGGCATTTTCGTACAATCACTCTTAAAATTTATAAAATCGTAAAGTTAGGGATGGGTTATCATGTATAGCCCAATCATTGGTTGGAGATGAGTTTTTGAACAAATCAGGTCATTTTTTTCCTTTTAGACATGTAGTCTTCCCTATCGGAGATGACCTTACTATTTATACGAGTCTCACATGTATTAGATAGTGATTCAATATATGTGTCCAAATAACATAGCCGATAAGAACTTCAAGCAAATATTGAATATTTAGAAATTTATATAACTTATTGTCCATGTGTAATCATGTGGTGGCCATTTAGTGTTACTTGAATCAATTTGAACAAAAGAGCGTGACAATAAGAATCCTTATCTAGAAAAATACAACTTTTAATTATGCTCTAAATCGATGCAAAATTGATATTACAAGTAAGCAACAAGAATAAAATTGACAAATCTAAACTCCTTTTCTTTTTTCTTTTTTTAAACAGTAACAAATTCCACAAACTGATCAACTATTTGTTGTGACTATTAGGGGTGGGTATAAAAACTGTGAAATCGTAAAAGCGAATCTAACCGTGATAAAATAAAGCGTTGAAAATCATGTTGACAAAAAAAGTCAATATAGGTTCAAGAACCAGACCGAACCATTCATACCGGTTATAGTTTTCATATGGGTAAAACTGCTCAGAACAACCATGAATATAAATAATTAAATAAATTTAACAGTTGATACATGTGTCGCTAAATAAGTAGTGAAAACCAAATTGGTTTCACCTTGTCCGACAACATTTCTCAATTAGGTCTTTTACTTGCATGGTTCATCTATTGAGATAAGGAACATATTTGAAAGAAAAAAAAAGTCATTTTCACTCTAGATCTCAAAAGTTGACATCCAGGTTTTGATTTCATATTTTTCTTGGATAGAATGATCTTAAGGTGTTTAGTTACATCCTATTTTTTTCTTTCACTTTTTCCCGGGCTTTTTTTTAAGGGAGTCTTAACGAAAAGCCCGCAATACTGTTCACTTTAACGAAAAACCACATTTTTACATTAAAAAGTCAATCTTGGTACTATTCACTTTACGCTTTATATTGTCCTTATCATTAAAAGTCAAAGTTTTCAAACTCTTTTCATTAATTTTCCTTTTTTTTTAATCTCTTGATAACTCCTTTTAGGCTAAAATTATTGTATTCACAATGACATTCTTACTGCATAGTGGATTATTTGTATGTGTGGATGTATATTTGTATTATGAATGTACATGTACATTTGAATTGTGTTTCCTTTTTTGTTTGCTTGGTGTCAATGACATTTGCATTTTGATTTGGTATTTGAAAATGTGAGTATGATTCTCTCTTATCCTATTCTCATTCGATTCCCTCACTCCTCTCACATTTTGTTTTTTGTCTCTATAAAAATATCAATATAAGATCTTAGCGTGGCTTAATTGTAACCATTCAAATAGGAGGAGAGGGAATGAGAGAGAGATTATGAGATGAGAGAATCCTCCTTGAAAAAGACATGTTTTGTTTGTAACTTTGTTACTTTGTACAACTAATTTAGAACTCGTAATTGATGCAAGCATGCAAAAATAAAAAGAAAAAAAAAACCAGTAAATTTTGAATAACATTTTGATTTGGTTTTCAAATGACTTTAGTATTCAAAATCGTAAATTAATTTTAACCGAATCGGAATCGGTGTAAACTAAAAATTATAATTTTTGTAATAAATTTAAGTAGAATTGCAGCAAACCAAACTATTAATATTTTTCTAAGTCGGATTCCGATTAGAGAATGAAACCACACCACGCCCACCCTAGTGAGAATGCATTGTATCGAGTTGGGGTGGCCCCTACGGCACATCGGTGGGATGTGGGTGTGAGAAAAATTTGTACACTTTTGGGGTTCTGTGAAACACAAACGTCCATTGGGAGTAAAATTTATCAAACAGGTGTGTACCCTTTCCCTTGTCCAAAAAATAGAAATGTGTGGACCCTTTCCTTTTGAGTAAGATGCATTCAGCAATTTTGTTGTCATGAAGGAAGCTAAGGCTATCATTACCTTATTCTCTTTGGTTTCTATTTACTTTGGGTGATCGGCACCTCCTCCTATTTGTCTAAGAATCTAAACAAGTTAAAACAAATGGCCTCGGGGGCGAGAAAAAATTACTTACACTGGGTTTGATATCATAAATGAAAGTGTTAAGTTGAAAGTTAAATTGCAAGACATTATTATGTAAAGTTTTAAAAGATTTTAGATGCTAGATGAGCGGCAAACTGAAGCCAGCTTAGATGGCGGACTAGAAAAATTTAAATAAATTTATTGAAATACATAATCAGCAAATTAGAACCACATATAAATTATAAAATATTAAAACATAATAAAATAAAAAATAAAAAACAAGCATATAATGTATGTTTATCTACGTATCTAATAAGTTTTTTACAATTTATTAGAAAATAAAATGCAAATGAAAATTATTTATTTTCTATTTAAATAAGAATCATCTTCTAGACCAGCTTGGATGGACTTCTAGGCGGATGTTTAAACACAAGCCTAACCGCTAGTTCTTAATTTTCAGAACAGTGGCTAACTGCTTAGCACCTAAACGGTGGTAAACAAAGATTTTTAAAACAGTGTTATTAAGTCATTATTTTGAGATACCGGAGGACTGAGCCAGTGTAAATTCTGTTAAGAAAATCAATACTAGATCGCTGTTAATTCCCATATGAGTCCATGATTCCTATTGATGAACTACATAGGAAGCATCCAAATCCAAATGTACTGTCAGATAAACGCATCTAATTATTTTGCACGTGTCCAAAAAATAATAGATATGGTAGATTTAATTAATCAAGATCCTCGAGGTACAACGCTATAGGAATTAAACCAGAAACTACTAAGTATATAATTATGAACATAATAGTTAGGTTAATAGCCCTAAAACAGAAATTAACAAGTAGCAAAGCAAAATTAGGCTACTAAGCAAACCCCCCTTTGCCACAAAATTGCTAACCACACCCCCATCTTCTTTTCCTTTTGCATTCTTCAGTTTCCGTACCCAGTCGGCAGCTCACATTTCCCAAACTCTGCAACAACAGAAACAAAGTTTTATATTAGTAAAACAATATTACGATTTTACAAAGAAAACCAAATGTCTATGCTTTTGCTCTTTGTTCACCCCAGGTTAGGAAAATGGACCGTAAACAGTAAGTACAGCACATCCAAACATTGGTCACGTGACCACCATTTGTTGTCCTATGACCTCGAGTGGAGCGCTCAGCGTGCACCACTTTCCAACGTTTCCTGGACCAGAGTCAAGCTTTCACGCCGGACTCTCAAAGGACTAGAGTGTCCCATTCCATCCGGCGCATTTTAGCAAAACCCACCAAAGTAACACTAGCATGCGCCGCTATTTTATATTAAATGCAATAACAATTGAGTGGGATGTGATATGTTACGTACTGGGTGGTTGCGAGACAACGTAGGCCGCCCCGCCAAAATAGCACGTGCCGACTCCACGTGCCTTCTTTTGGTAGTAACTGTTGAAAGCGTATGAGGCGTGGGCCTCCAGGGTGTTAGGATCATAACACGCGGACCCCGGCTGGATCTGATGGCAGTCCGCCCCGCCCTCACCGCAAGCGTAGTCTAGTCCCGCCTGCAGCTTCTCCTTCCCGGTCTCCCCATTCGCCACGCACCACGTGTTCCCGTTCAAGCTCTTCGACATGTCCCCTCCCCCGTTGACCGGAGCAGTCACATGCTGGTTTCCGGATACCGGCGACCGGCGGTCGTGGTAGTTCTTTAGTCCTTCGACGGTAAACGGTATGTCGTACACCTTCCGTTCGTTGGGGAAGAAGAGCCCGTAGTTTCTCTCTGATGTGGGACCGAATTTCTTGTCCTCGTTGAATAGAGCGAAGAGATATACGGTCAGATCTGCTTTCGGCCTCAAGGGGGTCCCCCCGCCGGTCAATATCCGACGGACGAGGTTGCCGTTGTAGGCCGCTGCGTTCTCCACACTCGCGCCTACTTCAACCGAGTCGCCTTTGGACGGCCAGCCCGTTTCCGACACAACCATGTTGATGTCGTCGTACTTCAACGCCGACATGGCGGCGAAAACGGCGTCGATCTGGGCGTCGAAGAGGTTGAAGTAACGGAGGCCGTTGCCGGCGTCGACGACTCCAGGGTTTTCACGAAAGAGGGCATAGTCCAGGGGATGACGTCAGAGTTTGACTCGTACGCGAAGTAGGGGTAGCAGTTGACCATGAGATAGGACCCAGTTTGACGAAGGAACTCTAGCATGGGCTTGAAAACGGGTTCAACGAGTTCAGGTCGGAATGAGCCGGCGGAAGATGGGTAGGAGTTTTGCAGGGCGCTGAGGGCAATGGGGGAGGAGACCTTGATGGAGGACTCAAGGTTGAAGTGGACGAGGGCGGTGTGGATGTTTTTCATAGCGGAGATGAGGAACTTGGTGGTGTTGTGGGTATCAACGAAGACCTCATTGCCGACACCGATAGCTTCGATCTGGGTGTTGGGGTGGTAAGCGACAACGTTTCGCTGGACCCAGTTGGTAGCGAAAGACTGAGACTTGGCGGCGGAGGAGAGGAGCTCGTTGGGCAGGTCGACTGTGACCTTGATGTCGGATCCAGCTAGGGCACGGAGCACGGCCGGGTCGGAGTCGAAGACCTTGACCCGCTCCAAGCCTTGTGACTTCAGAAGCTGCACCACCTTGTACGCCGACGGCAGGTTGTCGGCTATTCTACCATAGTTCACTCCGACTGAGGCCGCATCTGCAAAACGCATCACAAAACAACAACATATCAGAATCCAAAACACCATTACAAGATACAGAGAGGGAGAACATTGTAAATTTGCTAAGCATTTTACCAGCTAGAGATGAAAAGACAGAAAGGAGGAGCAGGACGGCGACGACATGGCGTTCCATGCTCTGGTTCTTGGAGAAGCAGAACATTGTGAAAGGTGGAGAGCTTCTTTTTTCCTCTTCTGGCTTTTCTTTGTAATTTTGTACGGCAGAGGGAGTGAGTGACAGTGAGGAGGTGGGGGGAAGTGAGGGGGGGGGGAGTGGTTTTATGACTTTGGCGAAATAACGTGGGGATCGAGATGGCGGGACCCACGTGTTTGACGCAACGGACCAATCGACCATCTTCTCCTCCACTTGGGCTTTGGGCCCTACGTGGTGGGTGCAACCCCTCACGTTGTCCCACAAAGTCGACCGTTTAAAGCTTCACCTAACATGGATTAATTCTGCACATGCAGAAAATAAATTGCGTTCTACTAGGTACTGTTTAGTACGTGGAACGGGACGGAATAGAATGGGACAAAGCGTTCCGTCCCATGTTTGGTACGTCTAAAACGGATGGAACGAAATATTCCACAGGACGAGTTTTTGGTGAATTTTCGTTCCACCTCACCCCCTGTAACGACTCATTCCACATCCGTGGAACACAAAACTATAACATCTTCGTCTCCTTCTTCTTCCACCTTGTTTCCATCCAAGGGCATCTTTGCTCCCGCTCCGTTCCGTTCTGTCCTGTCCCGTCCCGTCCAGTCCCATTCCGTTCCGTTTCGTCCCGTCTACATACCAAACGATACCCTAATGCACGTAGTATGCTCCTAGGGTTCGTCAAATTTTGTTTATTTTTTGTTGTTAAATAATTGGTTGTTTTGGTTTCATTTGGAAACCGGTTCCCTTCCGGACTCAAATGAACTGAGTTCGAGAATCAAATAATTTAGACAATTATAATTTAATTAAACGATTAAAATTATTATAATTTTTGAAAGGTTCATATTTATAACTGTGGAATCCAATTTTAATATTTCGGATGAGTAAACTCAATTTCTTTGAGTCTAAGGGATCTGGTTGCTTTGATTTGCCCACTTATGACCTACCCTGTCGAATGAGCTGGAATCTTGGAACGGGAACATTACTTACATAAAAAGGTCATGTCGTGACAGTGGATTTGAATAAAATTGAGATGTTGAGACAACATTTTTACCATTTTTAAATTAAACTTACATCTAAACAAAGACGTTGAGACGACAAATTTACATAAAGCATGAATCCTGGTGTGACAATTAAAGAAAAATTATGTTGCGACGCATAACAGCACTAATGAGCAGGTTAACATAGGATGCTATGGGGTCCATGGGGATTTAGAGGAATCAACGTTTGGGGGAATAATGTATTAATAAATAGAAGAGATGAGGTCATGATGTTTTCCGAACGTTGGCTTCTACCTGCTACAAGCAGTCAGCAAAAAGAGCAGTCCTTCCTAACGGGAAAGGGTAAGCAACAAGCCAACCACTGGTTCATCACTTTTATGATCATAGATTTATGCCGTTACTTATTAGCAATGATTTTTTGTGTCATTGAGAGGTGTTATAATTAGGCAACTGTTCTTAGCCAAATTCATTACATAAAAGTTTATTTGTTAGCAACGTCCCGCAGCTAAAATATGACATGTTCGAAATTGTTTGGCAATCATTTTGGTGCGCAATCAAGGACATTCTCGCAGTGATGGAGCCATTAAGGGACTAACTAGATCACTGGCTTATCCTGTCTTTTTTTCTTCTTGCTGCTATAAGATATGTTGTTGCAGCATATCAGTCTAATATCTTTTAATTCAAATGTGTTCTCAATTCAAACTCTTTTTTATTTTAAGCCAGGTCTCATTTTTCTCCTCTCCTTCTTATTCCGGTGCAATATTCACTTCCACTCCTTATTCTATCAACTTTTCCTTTAACTCATATTTTAAAAAAATTCTTGCTTACTTTGTACATCATGTTCAAGTTTCTGGGTTTTGTGCAATGTTTTTAATTCTCTCTATTGAATTTAAGGTCTTTCAATTGTTATATAAATGGTAAAATGAATAGTAACATGATTGACTTTTTAGTGTAAAAATGTGGTTTTTCGTTAAAGTAAACAGTACAGATAATTTTTCGTTGAAGTTCCCATTAATCAAATCTTTCATGTTCTAAGTTTAAATTTACCTATGTATATGAGAAGCTCTCCCACATATAAATTTTTGAATCCGCTACTGCATTCTCGATTGCTAAATATGCAGACAGGAGATGGACAAGCAATCTCGCCTTTAGATTGACCAATTGAAATCATTTCATGTTGCACACTCCCTTTCCCCCTCCCCCCTTAATATCCATTAAATCATATCAAAGGAAAAAGAGCAGCCTATAGAAGTTGCTTTCCCGCCTTCCCTCCCCTGGCCATATCTTAAAAGCCCATTTTGTTCGTCCACGATATTGACAAAGCACATGCATGTTTTTACTTGTTTTTGTTTCAAACACATACATATTTTCCTATGTCCGCATCATTGATGGATGCCCAACCCGCACTCTGGTTTTCTGAGTTTCAGCATAGTGTTTTATTTTTTAAATCCTTAAGTAAAACGATACTGTCTCGTTTAGTGATTTAGAAACAAATGAAAATGATTTGAAAATTTTGAGTTTTAATGATAAAGACAAAATAAAGGGTAAAGTGAATAGTACCAAGATTGACTTTTTAGTGTAAAAATGTAATTTTTCGTTAAAATGAACAGTACCGCAGACTTTTTGTTAAAACTTTCTTAGAAAAAAGTAAGTGGGACGACGTCGTTTGAGCGTTGAACCCATTACCTCTCACCCCGTTCCCCTATTTCCAAAACAAATCAGAGCACATAATAGCCCCATTTTCACTTCCCCTCCTCCCAACCCCAAACACTCAAAGGTTCATTCTTCTCCAATTCAATCGTTTTTGCACAAATGTTTGTTTGGGTACTTGAATTTTGTGTTTCACGTGAGATTTTGGATTGAAAGATTTTATTTTTTATGTTCATTTGGGGATTCCCAATTGCTTGATTGATCGGTCAATATTGAAACCCTAGGCGTTTGATGCTTTGCCGTCAAACAATAGAATTAGGAATGGGCCGCCGGCAGAACTTGATAGTCTTCCTCCACCTATCTCCAGGTGTTTGATAGTCTTCCTCCATCTATCTCTCGTACTGCTTTTTGCTAGTCTTTATACACACTCCATGTGTTTGATTTAATGCCTCAAAGAATTATCTAACTAAATAGTCTTGGGGGCAATGCCATCAAGCTTTGCCAGCTTTGCCCACATCTATCATCTTGGGTGTCATTTTCTACTTCTCGACTCAGTTATTAATGGAGCCTTTTGTTATTGGGACAAACACAACTTGTTGATATTTTGATAGTCCATTTGTTTTTGGTAAGAGAGAGAGCATATTTAAGAGGAAGCTGATGTCCTAGCTAATTTGTGTTGCTATTGAATTCTCTATCAAATGGATATTATAAGTTGATCGATAATGTCTATTGGTTTGTAATAGTGGACCAGAGTATAAAAAAAGGATTTGGTTGTCTAAATTTGTATTGAACAAAATTAATATTGTCCATTATTTAAAAGGATTTGGTTGTCTAAATGTTGTTGGGATCTTTTACCCTTTTAAATTCTGCCCTTCTCTCCCCCCCCCCCCCCAACATTATATAACATTTGAATCTATTGTCTTCCTTATAAGTTGGAAAAAGAAAAAAGAAAAAAAAGACTATCTTCAATCATTGGGAGCGAAACTTATCTCCGGACAATGTTTTACCCTCGTAAATAATATTATAAAGATTACTGCATGGCTGATTTTTACCATCTCTAGTCATGCAGGACTATAGTTTACTCCCTACAGAATTTGTTATCTTTACAGACAATTAAGAGAAACTATGATAAACACTCACACATCTACTGATTACTGTTACGTGTTGTTCAACACGCTTTCATTATTTTAAAAAATAAAATCTCAACATGACAAAATAATAATAACTCAAAAATCGAATTTAACACATCCATTTTTGTTTGAAAACAAAGGAAATTTTTACTGTTTCCTAATTTTCTTTTTATCCAGCCTTGTATTTAAAAATTAAAAAAAAAAGTTTTTTTATCCTTTTTTTTTGGAATTCATGAAAAGGGATTGAGCTTAAGTTTGTTTTCACAAAAAACCATACTATAACTTTATTTAATGAAAAAGAATTAAATTTTAATAAAAAGGACAAAAAAAAAACTTAAATTTTAATGAAAATGACACAATTTGGAAAAAAAAAAAAAAAAACTGACTTGTGGGACCTATACACTGTTTATGAAACTGAACGATATTATACTATTTATTGGTCTAATTTCATAAATAGAGCCTAATTTTTTGTCCACTTTCATAAATAGTGTCTAGTTCGTGGTCATGTTTCCTAAATAGTGCCTAGTTATTGGATCCAGTTTTATAAATAATGTATAGTAATTGATACAGTTTTATAAATAGTTTCTCTTTCTTGGTCCGGCTTCATAAATAATGTCTAGTCTAATTTCATAAATAAATTTCACCTATTGGTTTAGTTTTAGAAATAATGCCTAATTCTTGTTTTCGTTTCATAAATAATGTCTACTTATTGGTCCACTTTCATAAATAGTGCCTAATTCTTGGTTATGTTTCATAAATATTGTATAGTCCAGTTTCATAAATAGTTTTCACCTATTAGTTTAGTTTTAGAAATAATGTCTATTTCTTGTTTTCATTTCATAAATAGTGTCTACTTATTGGTTTAGTTTCATGAATAGTGTCTACTTATTGATGAAGTTTTATAAATAGTGTTTAATTTTGGTATAGTTTCATAAGGTTTGAAATTTAGACCCTTTTTGGTCCTATAAAAGCACCCATTGCGCCGAAAACGATGAACCCATAAGTGACTATTTAGACCAAAACCTTGAGAAGATTATGTTCTCAGTAATTATATTTAAAAAGCTGTTTTCAATTACCAAATTAAAATTTTCTCATATTTTTTACATATCTACAATAATAAATATAGCCTTCCATCCAATTTCTTGAGCTTGGGTGTCATCTTGGAGAAATTTTCCTTGTGCCCGTAACAAAAATGGTATGCCACGTATTATTATGTAAGTGGTGGAAATTTTTATTTTTTATGTTATTAATTTTTGTAACACAAGAATCTCACAACTTATACAAAATGTATCATCCTGTGTTTCGGGCACATTGAAAAGTT